GCACCCTAAGATTCGATGGTGCTCTGTCCCAAAAATGGAACGATACAATTGCATGGGCAGTTCCTTCCGCCTTTGAGTTCAAGCACTCGCCATCTTTACTAGACACCAAAAAAACCAGCCGACAAGCACATGGCCTGTTGGGGGCTTCCCTCGAAAACTCTCCGGAACCATAACATGCGTCGGCTGCTTGATATGAAAGCGCCTCCTTCGGGGCTCTCTCCCTCTTCTTCTTGTTCATACCAAAGGCCTCTTGCTTCCAAAAATACCGTGTGCGCTTTCATGTTTGTCTAAAATAGTTCAGCGAGAACTACATGATTTGTGCGCCGCTCCGAGTATCAAATATGCACGATTTCACTACATAGCTGCGGCGTCGACTTCCACCGAAAATCCACGGGTATTCTCCAAATGTCGGAGAAGTCTGGCCTGCAGCCCTAAAACAAGCCGAGTATGGTGCGATGATCGGAGAAGCAGTTTCTGGAGCTATCGCCGTATATAAATATGGTCTACTTCGCCTCTCTGCTTTCTTCCACAATTCGCCCAAGATCTTTCTCCAAAAAGCAATAGACGACCTCTTGATGGCTCGCTCCTGAAAGACTCGAACTATCAGAACATGGTCTGTCTGAGTAGATCTCCAAAAGTCATCAGTTCATCCGACCATGTCTCTGGTCGCTATGGGCTACAAGCTACAGATTCCAAAGCACACTACGGGTTCCATATACTGTCTTGTTATCAGACTCAGCTTGTACATCGCTATGGTCTGGCGGTCTGGCTCTTTGGTCGCGGTTTGAGGTCCAGACTTTAGCCTTCCTCCCTCCCGAGGTCTATCTCCACACAGCGATACGCCTTTCTCCAAAAGCAATGTTGATGCTAATCATGTTTCTCCAAAAAAAAAAAGATTCACATCATGGATCATGTCCGCTGCTGTGCTCCTTCGCCCCGGCGCTCAAAAACAACGTTCCCGAAGTGTCATGAAAAGACGAGAGTCGCTATTCCATCACGCAAAACTACTACACAGAGCGCTACTGTTCCTGGGAGAGCAAAAGCAGGACAACAAGGAGACCATGTCTGCCTTCTCGCTCGCGACTTCGAATATCAAACCAGGTCCTGGCTTCTACCAATCTTCTCATCTTACGCTCCTTCCTTGCATTATCCAAAAATCGCAACGCTGCAGGTGATGAGAGACTCGAAAGTCAGTACCTGCGAACTCATGTCTGCTTCGCTGGCTTTATGAAACAGTATCTGAATCCCGCTATGCGCTTAAAAAAAGATCTGGCAATTATCAAAACGAAAAGGACTTTTGCAAGACTATACTACATCAATACATGGCTTGGATCATGTGCTGGAAGTCCGAAGAGTCCGATTATTATCGAACTTCCAAGCACGCCGCAAAAGTCAAAGACGAAGCGTTTGATGGGAGACGCAAAGAAACACCCGATCAACAACATTATGAGAAGAGAGCGAGTGTCGAAAATCGCCTATATAAACGTCTCATGGACCTGCTGAAGTTCCTTCCTTCATCATAAACTGCGGTGCTTAATTCCAAAATGCCGTCTCTTATGCTGCATGGTTTCTTGCTTCTGTCCAAATTTCAAAATACCTCCGCCCTTGTGTGATGACTGAGACGAAACGTCAAAAAGCTGATTGCCTTTCGCCATGAATCAGACTTTGGAAAGAAGGCCAAAACTGCATTCGAGGCACTGCATGTTTCCTGAGTCTTCGTTGTCTTGAAAATACTACGGACTCAAGCCATGAGGACTGCCGCAAGTTGGACTGGCTATATCAATACCGCAAGTTCTGCAAAACCTTCCATCACTCCCAGTTTCATGCGCAATACCTTTCGCGTACCTCTAAAACCATGAAAGTCGCCTTGACATGGCTTCGCGCCTGGACTCCCGCTCTGAGTTCCAGGATACCTAGTAATCAACGTCTTCGGTATAACTCCGCTTCATATTTTATCTCGATGATTTAAACATCATGTCACCCCAAAAGATCCCTCGCATTTTTAGATGTCTCTTGACAAAGAGCGTGTGCCCCAGAGACTTCGACGCGGATCAAACCTACCAATTCCGTGTACATGTGTTGAGAAAAATCCTGAACGTCTTTGCCATGTGAGATTGCGGCAAATCGAGATTGTGATACGACACAGTTATGGCGCTCCGAAATTGCCGTTGTCTCCGCACCTAGGTGGTACCAGCGGGTGTGATGCGGACCATTTCACTGGTATCAGTGCCGCTGTCACCAGATCACCCAAGCCGGGTGTAAAGCCCACGCGAGCTCAACCTTCCTTCCCACTATGAACCTCCAAAATTTTCTTTTTGTTTTCAAAATCCTCAAAGAAATGTTGAATGGCTCTGGTCTCCTCCAAAAGAGCGAGCGCGCGTATGAATGTCCTTGGCCGCTGCTCTTACCCTTCTACCTTTTCGAAAAGAAAAAAAACCTGCTTTCTCCTACCATACGCTCATTGATAGAAGTAAAAGAAATCGTAAGAGTCAACATGTGGAACTCCTGCGAGGAGCTTCGAAACAATACGGAACGAGATTCTTCGAAAGAGACCCCATGTGAGAGCTACTTCACACTCTTAATAAAGAAGTCGTAAGCGACCAACCTAATGAGACGCTTCTACCTCCCTTGCTTGCTCCAGACCATCTATAAAAGCACTCCTGAGCCAGTCTTAACCTACTCTCTTACATTCAAGCCTCGGCGCAACATTACCAAAACTGTTTGGACGCATGGTCATGTTGTCCAAAATCAACTCCAAAACCTTGTCATGTGCAGCTCTTCCAAGTACCCATCAATAAGTTCCATGCTGGTGTGGACTTCTTCGATCGCGTCTATTCGAAGACAAGAGGCGAAGATGACATGTGGTGTGGAAATTTCAAAACAGACATAAGCAGCTCATGGCTGGAGCGAGTGTGGAACCAAAAATCTCATGCTATCGGCATATGTGTCGGCGCGCGCAAACGGAACAGCGATAGCGCTTGGACGGTTTCCCGGGCTATATAATGACTACCCCGCTGAATCTTGCTACGATATATGCGTCATTGAGGCCTTTCTCCAAAATTCCACCATCCTACACCATGTGTGTTCCGAAACACCTCGGCCGATGGTGATGCATTCGCGCCCGCGATCCTTGATCCTAGATCACTCAACATCATCCACATGACGACTTGGAAATGGGTGGCGGCGCCGATATACACTGCGTTCTGGATCGGTCAGTTGTAGGTTTGAAGGCTGTGTCACTGTGTAGAACACGAAAAGACTGTTCGCTGTGTTTGATGTAACTCCTAAGCTACCGTGATTTCATGGTATGGTGGTCGTGATGTTGAGAAGGTGTCTGGTATAAAGCGAGACTGGATGTGCATGGCATGACATGAATGAATGCGTCGTGTGCTTGAAATGGTAGATAACACTGCGCTGTTACCGCCTGAGGGTCCAAATGCGAGGGCAGACAGTACATGGAAAGAATGATGACCCTGGATATCGTGTACATCCTTGAACTCCAACATGTCCGAAATCGTTCGCATGTGTACCATTAATAGAATTCCTTCCAGTTCCCCCATATGATATCCCGTTCGTACTTCTTCATGAGCTGACCGGTGGGATCTTCACCCTTGACGTGTGCCCACGCGCCCGCGAAATGCAGGACGAATTTGCCTGGCTTCCACTCGCCCTCTTCGTTCTCGAAACAGGGTATGTCCTTCGGAAAGGCGTTGAGCCTTGACTGCGGCGCCACGACGTGTCTGCTGACATATGGCTGCTCTTTGAGCAGTTGCACCATGGCATCTTGCTCGCTATAGCTCTTGCTGTCGTCACTCTTCTCAGCTTGGTCGCGTATTTGGAGTGCGCGACGGACGAATTCGAGCGATCGATCGTGCGCGCGGACGAGGAAGGATCCAAGGTTCAGGCCGTTGCAGTCGTGTGTGAAGATGTAGTCGACTTCGTTCGCATTTTCAGCCTTTTCTAGCTCGTCTCTGACTACGTCGGCGACTGCGACTCCGGTGTCGGTGATGAGTGTGTCGAAGTCTAGCCACCATATCCAGTCGTATTTGTTGGTTTTGACCAGCCGCTCTACCATATCGAACTTCCAGTATACGGGGCTGCGCGGCTCGGAGTGAGCTTCAAAGTCGGTGATGAAGTCGTAGCCGTGACGTCGTGAGTAGTCTATTGTGTCTATGCGTCAGCTTCATCCAGTGCGATTGTTCGACAAGGCTGGGCTTACGGTCTTTGTTCTTGAGCGAGAGATGGAGATAAGATCTCTGATCCGTGACAAACGTCACGACGGCGATCCGTGACGGCCTATTATCTCCTTTGGCCGGAGGCGGCGGCGGTGGCGGAGGCTCTTCATGGCTCGGACCTTGACTAAGTTGCCATCCTAGGAAGACGAGGAAGACCAGCAGGACGAGGAGCGACGGCGGTATCTGTCGCGCTGAGCGGATGAGCATGTTTGTGGCGAGCGCAGTATGCCTAATATGTGGAAGGGGTGGAGCGATGATCTCGCTGTGGCATCTATACAGCCGCACAGGACATGGTTATCGTGAATGGTAGTACTCGGGATGGGAGCCAAGCGTGCGAGGTGCGCGGGATTGGATGCGGGACAGAAGGCCAAAGGGGAGCCATCGGGCCATGGTCGAGAACATGCCCCGGATTTCAGCTGCGGAGGCGGCCGCGTGTCCAAGCCGGGATGGGGCCAACGGCAGTAAAAGGGTCGAATTTGAATTTCGTTGTCGACGATTGATTGCAGGTACATCCAGGCCAGCGACTCTCCGAGTGGTCAATACGAGATACGGCGGGAACGAAGTGGAGCGTTCGCCCCAGGAACGCGGTGCGGTGCCTGAGGTGACCTCACACCCCGCTGGCCAGGGTTCGAGCTCGGACCACGACAGCCCCAGCCGCTGCTTTGTTACCAGCCACCTCTGTCTACTTTGGATACAAACATGACCCTCCGCACTAGTATCGCACCAACACTGACATCATCACGATTCAATCCTCCCTGAATCATCATGTCTGCTTTTAGAGGAGGGCGTAGCGGCGGCGGCGGGCCACCCAAGGGCCAGTTCCTGAACGGCGTTTGGCACTGTAAGTCCAACATTCCCACAAGACATGAGCACCACTGACAACGACTAGGCGATTGCAATCCCCGACTGCCAGCAGTACACTTCGAAACCAAGAAAGCAGGCCCGAACAAGGGAAGATGGTGTATGTTACTTCTATTTTACTGGTCAAGGGCTAGCTCTCTAACGCGCCCCAGTTCGCTCTTGCCAAAAGCCTCAGGATGCGGAGGACCGATGCAAGTTCTTTCTGTGGGATGATCAGGCGCATGCCAGGGAGCAGAGCGCCCTCGCGAACAACTCTCGCACCGAACCCGGCCCTGCCAACCCAGCTCCTGCCAACCCAGCTCCCACCAACCCAGTCACTCCTTCCCGACGTCAACCCTCCCCTCCACCACCTTACACGATCGAAACGAATCCAGCCGCATCAAGTCGCAAGCGAACACGACCTAGCAACGATGATTTCGATGACGAATATGGCCTCGGGCAGGTTAACGATGATGATCTGAACCAGGCCATGGTCGAGGCAGAGACACCGAGCAAGGCCGCGAGGACGACCAACTTCACGACCCCTGCACCCAAACGACAGAAGCTCCCATGGCAGATGGACACAGGCAGTAGCTCTAGAAATCATGGGCTGCAGACGCCCCAAACCGACCGAAGATCCCCAGGAGACAACCCGTTCGCACCCAGACACCCAACACCGGGCGGCGCTCTCTTTACCCCTTCATCCAACGTTGATGCGAACGAGCACCATCAGACCGCAACTCCGTCATCTTCGTTTGACGCAACCCCCACCCCAAATCGGTTCAGAAATGCAGTGAACGACGACATCGTCAAAGACGTCTTCGACTTGCTGCAGAACAGTAGCACACGCCTCGCAGACTCTACCGAAAACGAGCTCAGAACTCTGCTGGTTCGACACGCCAAGAACACCGAAGGATACAAGAGAGGTCGCGATGTCAGCCGTAGCACAGTCAAGGCAAAGGAAGCGAAGATTACGGAGCTGACATATCGCATCAACACACTTGAAGCCGAGCTTGAAGCGGAAAAGGCCATGGTCAAACATCTTCAGTGGGAGGCACAACACGAGTCGGACACCTGATCGTCTCGAAGTGCACGATCCCAACGTTCGGCTTGGGCTCCACACATCAACCACAACAAGTCTGCAGGTTTCGTCGGTCATGTACTCGAGTGGAGCACATCACCCAACGTCCATGAAATCACTCAAAAGGCCCACCCCCAGACCAAACACTGCATACGTTACCGAAGTGGTGGGCTGCCCCACTGTTGCCGACGTGCTGCGAAGCATGGCTCACCACACTTGCATCCTACGCGCAGCCAACGCGTCCGACGCGGGTCGCATGGTACGCCTTAAGTCGGCTATGTCGGCTATCGCAAGTGACTGTCTGGCCTTGCCACAGTTTTCTGTTCACGAAAGCACGTTGGATGAAGGGACTCACTCTCGCCCTGTGCGATGGTTCCTGAGCACGCCATCAGAGGCTGAGATTCCTCACAAGCACTCGGAATTGCTTGAATGGTAAGCGCGAATCAATGCGGAAGAAGGAGCGATCGTGACGTGACAGCTGCGGCGGAACCGAGCCACGCCCAGCATTGGCACGCGGAACTCGGCATGCAGACAGAATATGATTTGTCGGGATACTTTCGACCCCAACCATCTTACGTACGCCAGGCCTTTGCCGATGAGCTTTTCTCCACACCCTCCCCGGCGGAAGCTTGGCTATCAACGGCGGCCCCCGCCGAGCCACTGGAAACCATGTTCTTGTCCCATGAGGTTTTGTGAATTGCGAGCAAGAAAACCCATCTTGCAGGAAAAGCTTGTTTTGTGTCATGGCGATTGTTAACGTCGGGGTTGCCGTAGTCGTACCCCCGGTGTAGGATCGGGTGGGTCAACCATGCGATGTGAACTGGGAAATGCAGGGAAATCGCAACCCATTACCAACAGCAACCGAACGTGGGTTTGAAGAGACTGGTACGATCTTGGCGGACGTAGTGGGGCGTTTGCTCTGAACGGAATACAAAAGTACTTCACTTCTCACATGTAATGGCTAGGTCCGCCCACATTTCACAGTCTCCCGAAGAAAGGTCGATTTGGGATCGTTGCTCTATCCCGATACTTCCGTTTTGTTGAGGCCCGGCCTTCTACACCTCACTTCAACTCTCGCAATATAGTTGTTCATACAAGATGGCGATGCGATTCCTGCGAAAGATAGGCAGCTATTTGGCGCCTCAAGCCTCGAAAAGCGAAGATGGCCGTGACCAGTGGCCCTCGAGAGCAGCCTTCCTGCTCGCTGCAATGGGCGGCTGCGCAGGACAAGGAAACTTGCTCAGATACCCGAGTGTGTTGTACAACAACTATGGCCTTCAATGGTTCATTCCATATCTTCTGGCCGTCTTCCTCATTGCTATCCCGGCGCTCATCCTGGAAGTGTCAATTGGTCAAGCGTACCGTGGTGGTACTGTGATTGCATGTAAGACAGCTCTTGTGTTCATTACGTATGGCCACCAACTGACCACCTGCCGCTAGTCAATAATATAAACCGCCGTCTCAAAGGAGTCGGTATGGGGCCTGTCATCGTCAGCTTCCTCGTGGTTCAGTACTTTACTGTCAACTTGGCATGGTATGCAGTATCTCCAAACAATATCGACGTCTGGCCTGTACTTACTTTGTCACCAGGATTATGAGATACTTCCAAGAAAGCTTCACGAGTCCCTTGCCATGGGAAGGCCGCATCGAGGACTTTTACTACAAAGACGTTCTTCAGCGCGGAGCAATCAACGAGGGAAGCCTAACGCCGGATGGCAATTCCGTAGCTTCATTCACCGGTTATCCAAACGGAGCTCTGATCGGCTCAACTGTAGGCTGGAGTATCTTTGTATGGTTCTTGATCTGGATATCGATCTTCCGTGGAGTCGGCATGACCGGTCGCGTCGTATACTTCACAATGGGACTGCCCATCGTCACCACCATCATCTTCGTTGGTCGAGCGCTGTCTCTTCCCAATGCGAGTGAAGGCGTTGCCCTTGTTTGGAGAACTTGGAGGAGCGACCAACTCGCCTCGGGAGTCGTGTGGCAGACAGCTGTTGGCCAAGTCTTCTTCTCCACCGGTATCGGCTTCGGATACTTCACGTCGTACGCCAGTTACAACACAAAACACGCCAACGCCGTAATGGACGCTTGTCTTATTTGTGGTAGCAACGTACTTTTCGAAAACTTCGCTGCATTCGCCGTCTTTGGCGTTGTAGGCTTTCTCGAAAGGTGGCCACAGGACGGTGAGCGACTCGGCGCCTTCGTTGTAGGTTTCTTGACACTTCCTGAGGCAGTGCTACAAATGCCTGGAGCAAATTTCTGGGCAGTGCTCTTGTTCTTCACGCTCATTGTGCTCGGATTTAGTTCGGCTTTTGTCATGCTTGACGTTGTCGTCACGCTCATTTGCGATTCTGGCATGGTCAAGGCTTCGAGACCTGTCGTGGTTACTGGGCTGACCGTTCTCTCATTTTTGATGTAAGTGATGCTGCCCAGTTACTTGTAAGGACTGCTCGCTGACTTTGACAATTTAGGTGTCTTCCATATTGCACGGAGTTCGGCTACTACCTCCTCGATGGTATTGATCGCTGGGTCAATAACGTCGCTCTAATCTTTGTCGTCTGGAGCGAGGTTTCTAGCGCGACGACCGTGTACCGATGGAGAGACATCGTTGAGGAAACCGGCCTGCCCGCCTTTGTCATATACAATGTTGGTTTCTTCGGTGGCCAAGTCTTTGGTATTAGTCTTGCGCACGGCATCAGCCGACCTGGAGCAGGCGCCGGTGCTGGTATCGGTTTTTACTTCCTTATGGCTTTAATTGCTGTTTTCGTGGCAAAGACTCCCACCGCGCGAGCGCCGTCTTTCTGGCACCGGAATACTTTCGTTCGGAAGTTCTGGTTCCTCGCCTTCTACTCGGTAAGTCGAACCAACTAAACGACCCTGACATTCCAGTCAACTAACAAACACGGCAGGGTAACCAACTCCGTCGCGACCTGAACGTCATCGTTGGCCAGGGCAAGAACTGGACGATACCAGCCTTCATGCCATTCCTCCTCCGTTATCTCAGTGGACCCGTCCTCGCCATCATCTTCTCCTTCGCTTTCCCCGAATTCCACACTCTACGGTACGACCCAATGATGATTGCCGGATTCATCTTGTCCATATTCACTATAATCGTTATCCTGCTCGGCTTCATAATGCCGCGATACTACGATGCTTTCATCCCTACGGAACGCCGTTACGAAGGAACCGAGCCGACGGCACCGATGGAAACCAAGGGTGAACTAGCTGGCAGGCCCATTGCTGAGGTGGCAAGCGCCGAGCAAGGGCACGGCGTCATGAGGGACTCGTCATCAGGGCAAGAGATGGATGCTCACAAGCATACCAATCCGCCACCGTACACACCCAAATTCCCTCGCGATAAGACTTCGAATTCGAGCGCGAGCCCACAAGATGATTACAAGCACATCAAGACGACCGGATCGAACAAGACCTCAGCTGGGATCTAGGTTTCAATTTCCTTCTGGCGGGAGCCCGATGGATGGGCCTGAGGCGGCGCTGGCAGCGCCGCATCTCCTTGTTTCTTTAGGTGGTGACTTCCTTTTAGCGCGGTATTTGCGACATCTGTGGAAAGCAACCGTCATATATGCTGAGAGCCCAATACCCAGAGCGCAGATTATGCCAAAGCAACTCGACTCTGCTGTTTGCAGCACACCCAATGCGACTTTGCCGACCCAAGCCCTGATGTTTTCGCCCTCACCACTGGAGTACTGCTGACAAACTCTTGCTGAAGATTACACGATCTATCGTGCTTTTTGAGTGACTCTGTCTTCTATACTGATCATCTTCTGGAAATTTTGTGCCTAGGATTTGGAAATTAAGAGACGCGCCTGCGGAACATCGCGCTTCTAGCGCGGTATTTTCAGATTCTGAACTGCTGTTAACACGGCCGGAGTTCAGATGAAGACCCACTCGCTCGCAGAGTCTTTGCGCTTGCCTACACACGCCTATTAGAGTAGAACCCGCTTGGGAAATAATTTCGCGGGACGCACAGCTCTCCTTCTAGATGGCCCGTACCGGTATTGGTCCTCCGCAATCACGATGCCGCCCTTCCGCGTGATACACTGCATAGGGCTGTCGGTATTTCCAGATTGCTATCCATATATCTAGATGAAGACATATGCATGTCGGGAGCCAAAGATGGACGAATCCGGGGCAAGCGAGAAGCTTGTTTTCACGTGGCTGCAGATCCGCTGACGCCAGTGCTGCATAAGCCAAGCCAGCACGCAGACAAAGAAGAGTGCCTGGAGTGAGATTCTTTCTACCCACACGCAATGCTGCATGCACATGTTTGCGCAAGGGTTTATTTGCCAACGATGCGGCCCGGCGAGTCAGACGGGTGGGCTGCCACCGCGCAGTTTGTGCGGAGACCCACTCAACCTCGCTCGTGGCGACTGCGCGACTTGTGCGGCCGCCACTGTCACGCTTTTGGACGATGAATCAGAAATGTAGGTAGCAATGACACATTTCGCAGAAAAGGCTCGAAAATTCGGGTTTCACTTATATCTGAGGGTTCCAGTATCGTGTTGTGTTTCCTTGAATGTTCCTTCCTTCGTCTACGCCCAGTCGCTTCCTTGATTGCTTTGATTGCGCGACGACAGCCGTTGGCTACTACCCCGGAACCGGCGCCCACTGACATCTATCAATCATCGCCTGAGCAAGAGAGTCATCCACCCGATTGATTGAGGAGTACCGACATTGTCGATATTACACAGCCAAGGTCACCCCGAACGCGAACCAGTCACCATGTCTCCCGCTGCGCCGTTACCCAGATTGCGCGATCCTGCGGTGAACGGCACCACAACGACGACATGCTTTATTTCTAATCTCCACTGCCCGTCATGTGTGGACGGTATCCAAGCCTCTCTCGCCGCGCTCTCACCGCCGCCAGAAGACGTATTCGTCTCCATCGTTTCACATTCAGTGGTTGTACGCCACGCCGCTTCTCTCAACCTTGACGACATCACCGTCTCGCTAGAGGCTGCGGGATTCGAGAT